CAGATTGCAACTACTGATTCTGGTGGATTCAGGAAGTGTGGGTTCTTTTGTCAGCAAGCAATTAGCTCAGCAAATTACACAAGAAGCCACAGCTTGTGAACCAACTCAGTATGTTGCAGCTGATGGGAGCCCCATGGTCTGTAATACCAGAATTGAGAAATTGCATTGGAGCTGCCAGGGGCATACATTTGTATCCAATGTGGGCATTCTTCCTCTAAAGTGTTTTGACATGATACTAGGACAGGATTGGCTAGAATCATGTAGCCCTATGTGGGTGCATTGGGTGAAAAAGCAAATGAGATTTACTCATCAAGGAAAGAGAGTTATGTTGACTGGGGTCACTCAAGATGCTCAGCAATGTGCTCCAGCACATGAATCAAAGATCAAGGGTTTATTGAAGAGACAAGCTATAACTTACTGCATTCAGTTACATATGGTTTCTGACCCTCATGATTCATCTTTGTCTGAATGTTTGGAATCTGTGGCTGGGGTGCAAGAGTCAGCAATACCTTCTGACATTCAGAAGCTGCTTTTTGTCTATGAGGATGTATTTCAGACACCATCAGCTCTACCCCCACCTAGACCTTTTGACCATCAGATTCATCTGCTGCCAGGGGCTCAACCTGTCAATGTGAGGCCACATAGATACTCACCACTGCAGAAAACTAAAATTGAAAAGCAGTTGAAAGAAATGCTGCAGAGTGGAATCATCAAGCACAATTCAGGCCCATATGCTTCACCTGTGCTATTGGTTAAGAAAAAGCATGGCTCATGGAGGTTTTGTGTAGACTATAGGCATTTGAATGCTCAGACAGTGAAGAACAAGCACCCAATGCCTGTAGTGGAGGAGTTGTTGGATGAGTTGCATGGAGCTAAGTGGTTCACCAAACTTGACTTCAGAGCTGGATATCATCAAATATGTGTTAACACTGCTGATACTCATAAGACAGCTTTCAAGACTCATAATGGGCTGTATGAGTTCTTAGTCATGCACTTTGGCCTCACTAATGCTCCTGCAACATTTCAAAGTGTGATGAACTTGATCTTTGCCCATCTACTCAGAAAAGGAGTTTTGGTTTTCATGGATGACATATTAATCTATTCATCTACTTTAGCTGAGCATGTCACATTTTTGCAACAAGTTTTTTATGATCTTGAGGACTCATAAGTTTTATGTCAAGCTGTCCAAGTGCTCCTTTGCACAACAGGAGGTTGAGTATTTGGGACATACTATCTCAGCTGGAGGTGTGGCTACTGATATAGCCAAGATTCAAGTGGTGAAACAATGGCCAGTACCAAAATCATTGAAGGAGTTAAGAGGATTCTTGGGCCTCACTGGCTATTATAGGAGGTTTATAAGGTACTATGCCTTGATGAGTAGGCCTTTGACTGATCTACTGAAAAAGTTAGTTCCATTTGTTTGGACAGGCAACACTGAAACAGCCTTTCAGCAGCTTAAGCAAGCCTTACTACAAGCCCCAGTTCTGGCACTCCCAGATTTCCAGAAACCTTGTGTGTTGGAAACTGATGCAAGTGATGTAAGTTTTGGTGCAGTGCTTATGCAAGATCAGCACCCTATAGCATATTTGAGCAAGGCTGTTAGTAGAAGGAATCATGCCCTTTCTACTTATGAGAAAGAATGTTTGGCTATTATCTTGGCTGTGGAAAAATGGAAATATTATTTGCAACATCAAGAGTTCATCATCAGAACTGATCACAAAAGCTTGTTGCATCTCACTGAGCAGAGAATCACCACAAAAATTCAGCAGAAGGCTATTTTCAAGTTGATGGATTTGAAGTTTAAGATATTGTACAAACAAGGCTCATCAAATATGGTTGTTGATGCCTTATCTAGATGCCCTGAAGCTGGAACAGTGTTTGCTGTATCTACTGTCTATCCTGAATGGGTGGAGAAGATTAGACTTGGCTATCAAGATGATCCTCAAGCTATGCAGTACTTGGCTGATCCCAGTACTGATGCACCAAGATTCAAAGGATTCTCTCTTTTAGATGGCCTTATTAGGCAACATGGGAGATTGTGGTTGGGAACTAACAAGCTGGCTCAGCAGCATGTTATACAAGCTGTGCACAGCTCAGGAGTTGAGGGCCATTCTGGTGTGTTGCCTACATATCACAGAATCAAGCAAATTTTCATTTGGCCAAGAATGAAGGATGATATTCAAGAATACATTAAACACTGTATAATCTGCCAACAAGCCAAAGTAGATCATGTGAAAATGCTAGGATTATTGCAGCCCCTACCAGTACCAGATCAAGCTTGGAAGGTGGTTTGTATGGATTTTATTGAGGGCTTACCTAAGTCTCAGAGGTATGATTCTATTTTGGTGGTGATTGATAAGTTCACCAAGTATGCACATTTCATTCCATTGTCACACCCATTTACTGCTCTTCAAGTTGCACAAGCTTATATGGAGAATGTGTACAAGTTGCATGGGCTTCCAGACAGCATAGTGTCTGATAGAGACAAGATTTTTACAAGTGCACTATGGAGAGAATTGTTCAAATTGTCTGACACTCAACTTCTCATGAGTTCTTCATACCATCCTCAAACGGATGGGCAGATAGAAATACTTAATCAGTGCCTTGACAATTTTCTGAGATGCAGTGTTAATGCCTGTCCAAGACAATGGAGTAAATGGCTGGCAATGGCTGAATTTTGGTATAATACAAGTTTCCACTCTGCATTGGGTAGATCCCCATTTGAGGTTTTGTATGGATATGCTCCTCGACATCTGGGATCCAGCAATGATACTCACTTTCATTCTTCTGATCTAGAGCAGTGGATGCTTGAGAGAAATTTGCTGACTGATCTATTGAAGCACCAGCTGCACCGTGCACAGCAGTGTATGAAGCATTTTGCTGACAAACACAGATCTAAAAAGGAGTTTAAGGTTGGAGACATGGTCTACCTAAAGCTTCAGCCATACATCCAATCATCTATTGCACCAAGGAGCAACCAGAAGCTGTGCTTTCAGTTCTTTGGACCATTTAAGATTCTGGCAAGGGTCGGTCAAGTTGCATACAAGTTGGATCTTCCTGAAGATGCCAAGATTCATCCTGTGGTGCACGTTTCTCAGTTGAAGCAGCATTTACTAGCTTCGACGATGGTGGAAGGTGATATTTCTCAAGTACCTACTGATCCTATGGTGACACTTTGTCCTATCAGGTTTCTAGGCTCCAGAAAGTTGCAGAAGGGATCATCGTCGTTATTCCAGCTGCAAGTTCAGTGGGAGGGAGTACCCAAGAACATGGCTACATGGGAAGAGGCGGATGATTTACGGCGTCGCTTTCCAGCAAGTCCAGCTTGGGGACAAGCTGGAATTCAAGGAGGGAGCAATGTCAGGAGAAGGGGCACGACTACTGTTGGTGGTCCGATAACGCCAGCAATAGCGAGTAGCACTGGCTAAGTACCTGTTGGGCCGCAGTTGTGTTTAGTCGGCCTGTTATCACGCTGAATGGGCCAATGGCCTTGTAATGGTGGTATAAAACCCGATGTCTGGGCGAGGGGGAGATCATCGAAGATCTGAAACTCTATTATGTATTCTGAACTCAGTTTCCATTCACTTACAATTCAGTTACAGAGTAGTTACATTCTGCAGTTCTTAGTTGTTCTTAGCATTTCTTGATTCTATCTGTTCGATTCCACTCAGCTCACCGTCAGACTTGATCCGTAGTCTAACATGCACGCACGACGTGATAATGCAGGAGCTGACTGTATGGCTTTTCCATATAACGCGGACAGAGATGCCGGCACTCAAGCAGTCATCTCCAAGCACAGCCAGCAAGGGCGCATCGCTTGGCAAAGTGCCATCAGCAATAACCTACTCCACTCTGCCAAGCAATTTCAGGCATCAAACACTTGTTTATCCTGTTCTGATTTATTTTTTTAAATCTGTGCTCTACAGTTACATATCCATGTGTTTTGCTACTTGTGCAATATATGATTTCGTTGAAAAATAGCAAGTAATATCTAGGGTTATGATTGGTTCAAAACTTGTTGAACTGAAATTTGTTGTCTTAAACAGAGTCAAGGCTATTTAGATTAGGCTTCGTCATGGGTATAAATTGTTGCTGCTATTGTACAGTATGTTAACCAGAAGGGAAATCATGGAAGCTATTTTATAAATAATATCACAAAGTATGCATCCATTGATAAAATGTGAGCACATGTTTTAGTTCTATCCAAGATATCTAATAGATATGTTCTCGATGCTTGAGAGGTACAACAGTACAGCTGCAATGAGGGCGCTTACGAAAATAATCTTGAAAGAACGTAATATTTACTACGAAATTTGATTTCACATTATTTAGCAATGTAAGGTTTTCATATTGGGTAAACTTTCATTTTATATCCTCCTAAGATAGCAGGCTTGGAATATAAAATTTATTGAAAACACATTAATATCTAGGTATAAGAAGAACCAGTAGATTGATCAGGCCAATACATTAAAGTATATTCTCTTTTCAGTCATTATATTTTAGAGCTGAGAAATCATTATAGGATTCTTCTCTATGAAGGTAGTACCTATATTTTCTTTCAAATATAAACAAAGGATTTGATTCAACTTAAACGGCATTTTACCTTCATGTCGGCATGAATATCAGGATGTGGCTTAATGTTGGCTTCTTAATGTTTAATATTATGTGCATGTTTCTTCATTTTTCAGCAGGTGTACTCAAAATATAGCTTATGACCAAACCACACACACATCCAAAGAAGGGGACTCAAAAAAATCATCCTCAAATACAGCAGACATATAAACCCCTAACTCTCATTTATTATTTTTATAACCATTTGATAGATAGTTAGAGCATTAGCCTGTGTAATGATCTTGAATCAGGTTTACCTACACGGGTTGGCTGGCTCCCGGACTGGCGCGGCGCGGCAAAGCTGCGCCTGGTTTTCTAGTATACATTTGGATTTGATCTGAAAAATGCTTTCATGGGCTCGATCCGGCCGCAGAGGTTCACCTGGAACGATGGGCCATCAAAGAACGCCTCTTTTCTTAACCAACCAGTATACACGCTTGGGCTTGAGCATGGCCTCTTACAATTTCTCAATCACTACAGCCCAAAAGTCAAAAGACCTCCAGGTTGGCCGCGCCGTCACACGGTCACACCGCACGCGCGCTGTCCTCCGCTGCGGGCTGCGGCTGCAAGCGGGCCGTGTCATGCCGGCGTCGCCATGGCCGACCCCTCGCTCCGTGCGGCAAGCGTCCCAGCTCCACGCCATCCTCACCACATCCGGCTGCATTGCCCAACGGCCCTCCGCCGAGCACCTCCTCAACTCGCTCACCAACTGCCTCTCCGCCCCGCGCCACCTGCGCTACGTGCTAAGCCTGTTCGACCGATTGCCGCACCCCACCACTTTCCTCCACGACACCGCCCTCCGTGCCTGCCTCCAGGCTTCCGCCGGCGCAGACCATCCCGTCCTCCTCCTCCGCCGCATGCGCCGCGGGGGCGTCCGCACGAGCGCCTTCACGTTCCACTTCGTCTTCCGGTGCTGCGCCGCCGGCGCCGGCGCTGGGCTCTGCCGGATGCTGCACGCCGCGTGCCTCCGGACCATGCTCCCCTCCGCCGCGCGGATCGTGGCGAACCCCCTCATCCACATGTACGCCTCGCTGGGGCTCACGGACGACGCCCACCGGGCGTTCGATGAGATGCCTGTCAAGGACGCGGTCGTGTGGGCCACGGTGATCGGCGGGCTGGTCAGGTGGGGGCTACTCGATGAAGCGCGGAGGCTCCTCGTGCAGGCACCGGAGAGGAACGTGGTCTCGTGGACTAGTTTGATTGCTGGGTACTCGCGTGCTGGCCGGCCTGCTGATGCCGTGTATTGCTTCAACTGCATGCTTTCAGATGGTGTCGAGCCGGATGAAGTCGCGGTGATTGGCGCTCTCTCGGCATGTTCGAAGCTCAAGAATTTGGAGCTTGGGCGCTTTCTGCACTTGCTGGTTGGGAAGAAGAGGATGCGGATGGCTGACAATCTTGTTGTTGCGCTCATCAACATGTATGCCAAATGTGGTGACATTGCCCAAGCACAGGCGGTCTTTGACGCTGTGGGAAGGGGCCAAAAGCCTGAGCCATGGAATGCTATCATTGACGGGTACTGCAAGCTTGGCCATGTTGATATTGCAAGGTCTCTGTTTGATCAAATGGGCGCCCGTGATGTCATCACATTCAACTCGATGATCACTGGATACATCCACAGTGGCCGGCTTAGAGACGCATTACAGTTGTTCATGCAGATGAGGAGACACGGCATGCGTGCTGATAATTTTACCGTGGTGAGCCTTCTCACTGCTTGTGCGAGCTTAGGTGCACTGCCACAGGGCAGGGCTTTGCATGCTTCAATCGAACAGAGGATAGCAGAGGAAGATGTCTACCTTGGAACTGCACTTGTGGACATGTACATGAAATGTGGGAGGGTGGATGTGGCAACCGCTGTGTTCCATCGCATGGGTGAAAGAGACGTTCACACTTGGAGTGCCATGATCGCAGGTCTTGCATTCAATGGGATGGGTAAGGATGCTCTGGAGTCTTTCTGCCAGATGAAGCGTGATGGTTTTCAGCCCACCTCAGTTACCTACATTGCTGTTCTGACTGCATGCAGCCACTCGAGTTTGCTTAATGAAGGTCGTCTGCACTTCAACGAGATGAGATCGTTGCACAAATTACACCCTCAGGTTGAGCATTATGGCTGCATGATAGATTTGCTTGCTCGCAGTGGGCTCTTGGATGAAGCTATGCATCTTGTTCAGACCATGCCAATGCAACCAAATGCCGTCATATGGGGCTCCATCTTGAGTGCTTGCAGAGTCCACAAAAACATTGACCTAGCCCGACATGCTGCGGAGCATCTTCTGAAGTTAGCGCCTGAGGAGGATGCTGTCTATGTCCAGTGGTATAACATATACATAGACTCTAGACAATGGGTAGATGCAAAAAGAATAAGGATGTTGATGGAAGAACAGGGAGTTAAGAAGACGGCAGGGTACAGCTCGATTACTGTGGCTGGGCAGGTACACAAGTTTGTTGTCAATGACCAATCGCATCCTCGGACATTAGAGATCATCACGATGGTGGAGGAAATTGCACGCAGGCTGAAGTCTGTGGGTTATTCTCCAGCTACGTCAAGGATAGCAGTGGACGTTGACGAGGAAGAGAAAGAACAGGCACTTTTAGCACACAGTGAGAAGATAGCCATTGCTTTTGGTCTCATTAGCCTTCCACCGAACTTACCGATTCATATCATGAAGAACCTGAGAGTCTGTGAGGACTGCCACTCTGCAATCAAGTTAATCTCTCAGCTTTGGAACCGGGAAATCATTGTTAGAGATCGGAGTAGGTTCCACCATTTCCGAGATGGAGCATGTTCTTGCAATGATTTTTGGTGATTACCACTCTGCAAGCTCCTAGTCTTGTTCCAGAGGACAGAATACAATCACAAGAATAACAAGTGCTTCATCTCACAATTCTGCTTCCAGTTTCAAATTTATAAATGCCTAAGGTACTGTTTCTTCATGCCATCTATCCATTTCAAATTGTAAGTTGTTTTTGCTTCTTTAGATACTTAGTTTTTACTATGCAACTAGATGTACGCTATGCCTAGATACATAGTAAAAAAGACTTACAATTTGGAATGGAGAGAGCAATAAATGAAAGGAGCTTGTGAATCTTCTCATAACACAAAGCTTTCTTGTGTACTTTACCAGGGATAGGAAGTCGGATGTGTCTGCACGCAAACACACTCCATTCGTGGCCGTCGGTGGGTTTCACGGTGATGGAACTGAATGTCTGAATCCATGTGATTTGATTCTTCAGTATGACACCATGCCATTGTTGTTTCGAGCACAGCAGTTTTGGGACAGTGATAAAAAGGCCACAGCCTACAACCCGAAGGCTGACTGGGGTAAATACAGACAATGGGCTGTCTAAACTGGTTAACGGGCCGGCCCAGTCAATATGGACATCGGCTCTCTCTCCTTCCTCTCTGTGATGTTTCCAGATCGTCAGGGGTGAATTGGTTTGGGTTATGGATGCTCCATGTTCCTTGGAATTGTTTAGTGGAGGCGATCAGGGAGTGGACTGGATTAGGTAGCCCACCAGCAGTGGGGGAAACAGTAATTGCTTGGGCTTTTGGACCACTGTTTATTGAGGGGGTGTTTAGATGCTTTTGGAATGGCAAAACTTTTGTCCCTAATCTTTTGCTTCAAAACCTTTGCCATTCAAACTTTTGACATTTGGTGTTTAGATGCATGGCAAAACTTTAGCCATGCAGACACAACACGCGCTCCCAAGACGTTTTTTTGCCCAGTTTTGGGCCTCTTGGGTCCCAAATGCCAAAAGTTTTGCAGCCCAAGTTTTGTTGTTTTTGCCTATGGTGTTTAGATTCATTTTGCCAAAAGATGGGATAAAATAGCAAAAGTTTTGACCAAAATGGGGAACTAAACAGGCCCTGAAATTGGATAACTGACGAGATTCAACCTGATATGTTGATGTAGGTTGCTAGCTACTCGATATCAACTTTAATGATTCATATTGTCAGAATAATTGTGGGTTTCTAGCACCATATCTTCCTTATCCATTGGTTGGCTGATTGGCTTTAGCAAACTATCTATGAACACAACCTTGTGGTGTTCATTTGAAATTGCTAATTCTTTCCTGAGATTGTACTTTGTGTACATTTCTTGTAGGTATTTCATTGCTTGGGTGTCTTGTAGATTATGGCATTCAAAAGAAAACACATTTTGTAAATTGTAAATTTGGTAGGTTGATAGCATACATACGTGAAAATACAAAAAAGAAACAACGATGGGGTCTAGTATTTTATATTATATATAATTCAGCGATTTATTGCATTTAAGACAATGTAACAAATTGCTTGCTGATTGAGGAACAAACTAGTCTTAGAAATGAATAATAACTTAATAAGTGCTCAATTCGCTGGTAGATTGAATAGCGAAGCGGCAAACAGCAGACTAGTTTTTAGGCCACAATGTCCTAAATGTAAGTTTTGTTTTGTTGTTTCAGGAAGCCACTATTTATATAAAGCTTCCCAGAAGAAGCTTGCTTGTTCAATTTACATGCAATGCATGTGGTGAAAGGACAAAGCTCTTGATAAACAGAGTATCCTATGAAAGAGGGACAATTTTTCTTCAGGTAAACTTTGTCTCATGTCTTTATTTATGTGCAAATGTGTCATGTGGGGACGCACGTATGTGCGACGCCGTCGGGCGCGTGATGTGCGCCGGGCCACAGAGCGAGCCCAGCGTGCGGCTGAGGTGGCCACCGTGAGTGGCTAAGATTAGAAAATAAGAGATTAGTTTCCTTATTTATTCCTTAATTATAGGCATGGTTGGTTCAAATTTCGAGGGCTATTTGAGTCTTGTAACTGCATTTATAAAGGCAAGCAAGATTATTATTCCTAATCTCTCTCTCGCCTCTCATCTAAGCCTTCACGGAAGAGGGGCATAACCTCGCGGAGAAGACGACGGACCGAGGCTACAATCTCCGTGAGCCGAGGGCCTCCTACCCTAGACGCCAAGGCCCTTGACAACTGGTATCACGGTCACGCCGATCCTCTTCTTCCCGCTCACGCCCTGCGCTCGCCACCACCGCCAAGGTCCCACAAAGTACCAAGGCCACCACCCAGCCCACCACCCCATCCACCATCAGCCAGCTTCGTCTCTTCACCCATGGCGGAGCCCTCCAACGCCGACATAGCCAAGATGATCGAGAGCCTCACCGGCACGATCGCCTCCCTGCAGTCCGACGTCGCCACGTTGAAGAAGGACAAGGAGAAATCATCTTCATCGTCTGGCCCGGGCGGTAGTCTTGCCGACGCCACACCACAACGACCGCCCTCCGAGATTTCGGAAGATGGATTTTCCCGCTATGATGGCACGACCGATCCGCCGATCTTCGTCAACCGTGAATCTTACTTCCATCGCCAGCCGCATCATGGAGGAGGAGAAGGTTTGATGGCCTCGATAATCTGGAGGACGCCGCCCAATTGTGGTACATCCAACTCCGGGAGGATGAGGGTACCCTTGGTGGAGCCGCTTCAAGGATCTCCTCCACTGCGTTTGGACCGCCCTGGCTCACGCCGCTTTCTCTGAGCTCGCCGAGTGCCGCGCATGGGCTCCGTGGAGGAGTATCGAACCGGTTCCAGGCGCCCGCCACGCCACGGTCCATTGAGGAAGCCCAATAAGGTCCAACTTTCACGGGGGCCTCTCGCCGCCGCTAAGCCGCGCGTGCGGATTCACAACCCGCACCGCCGCGGCCGCCATGAGCTCGCCCGTCAAGTGGAGTTGATGGAGCTCGACAGCCGCGGCGCCGCTGCTCAGGCCAAAGTCGGCTGCCCGCGCTCGCTTCAAAGATCGCCTCGGCGCCCGCGCTCCACCCTCACCACCACCACTGGCGCCGCCACCGCCAAAGATGGAGACCAAACCGGGAAACGCTCTCTCTCGAGGAGCGAGCGAACGTCGCCGCTTTGGGCTGTAGCTACAATTACGACGAAAAATACTCGCGTGGCCATAACCGGGTCTGCCGCCGCATCTTCTACATCGACGGCGTGACGCTCACAGACGCCGAAGACGCCGCATGGGACGGGGACCAGGAGGAGGCCCCGGTCTTTTCTTTGCAGGCGGTTGCCGGCGTGCAGCCCTGCGACACCATGCAGGTCCGGGTGACGTTGGGCGCGGTGACCCTCACTGCCCTCCTCGACACCGGCTCCACCCACAACTTCATCGCCGAGGAGGCGGCGCACCGCACCAACCTGCCCATACAGTCCAAGCCCGCCTCACGTACCCATGCGGGCCACCAATGGCGAAAGATCCAGCGCCGGGCGTTTCAAGGCGCAGCGCCGATCACCATCGCTGGGGAGGCGTTCCACGTGGACCTCTTCGTCATGCCGTTGGCGGGATACGATCTCGTCCTGGGAACCCAGTGGCTGGTTACCCTGGGGCCGATCACGTGGGACTTCACGGCGCGCACCATGTCGTTTTCGCGCCAGGGCAAGGACGTGTGCTGGACCGACGTGGCAGCGCGCCCGGAACCGACTATCGCCGCCACAGCAGCCTCGGCGGACTTCCTCGACAAACTGCTGGCATCCTTCGAAGGGGTTTTCGCCGAGCCTTCCGGTCTACCACCACAGCGTGGCCGGGACCACTGCATTGTCCTCAAGCCGGGTGCGCTGCCCGTGGCCGTTCGGCCCTATCGCTACCCGGCGGCCCACAAGGATGAATTGGAGCGGCAATGCGCCGCCATGATCGCTCAAGGCATCATCCGTCGCAGCGACTCCGCGTTCTCATCACCGGTCCTCCTCGTCAAGAAGCCGGACGGGTCGTGGCGTTTCTGTGTCGACTACCGCGCCCTCAATGCGCTTACGGTCAAGGACGCGTTCCCGATTCCCGTCGTCGACGAGCTGCTGGACGAGCTCCACGGGGCGCGTCTCTTCACCAAGCTCGATCTCCGCCCGGGTACCATCAAAAGCGGATGCGGCCGCGATGTCCACAAGACCGCGTTCAACCCACGACGGCCTCTACGAGTTCCTCGTCATGCCGTTCGGGCTGTGCAACGCCCCGGCAACGTTCCAGGCGCTGATGAACGACGTACTACGAACGTTCCTTCGTCGTTTCGTTCTTGTGTTTTTTGATGATATACTAATCTACAGTAAGACTTGGGCGGATCACCTGCGCCACATCCGCGCCGTCCTCGGCCGAAGCTTCACGGCACCAAATTCTTCCTCAAGCGCTTAAGTGCACCTTCGCTAAGCGTCTTGTCGCCTACCTTGGCCACGCCATTTCCACGGCAGTATCGCCATGGACCCGGCCAAGGTGCAGGCGGTGAGGGACTGGCCGACGCCGCGCTCGGCCCGAGCGGTCCGTGGGTTCCTCGGCTTAGCGGGCTACTACCGCAAGTTTGTGCACAACTACGGCACAGTTGCAGCACCCCTCACTGCCCTCCTCAAGAAAGATGGGTTCTCTTGGTCAGGGGAGGCCTCGGCGGCATTCGACGCGCTCAAGGCGGCTGTCACCTCCGCCCCGGTACTCGCCATGCCGGATTTCTCCAAGCCCTTCATCGTCGAGTGCGACGCGTCGTCTCACGGCTTCGGGGCGGTGCTGGTCCAGGACAGCCACCCGGTGGCCTTCTTCAGCCGGCCGGTGGCACCCCGCCATCGCGCACTTGCGGCGTACGAGCGCGAGCTGATCGGCCTCGTGCACGCGGTACGGCACTGGCGACCGTACCTATGGGGGCGCCGTTTCATCGTCAAGACTGATCACTACAGCCTCAAGTTCCTGCTCGATCAGCGGCTCGCGACGATCCCTCAACATCACTGGGTGGGGAAGCTTCTCGGGTTCGACTTCGCCGTCGAGTACAAGCCGGGCCAGGC